GACCGCCTATAAGTTTGTCAGGGGTGCTCACCAGGACCTGGGGGACATCTGTTCACCAGAGTGCCCCAAGGGATGACAAGGTTGAACGGTCACAAACTCCTCCATGACCTTTTCAGGCTGGACATAAGGAAGAACTTCTTTACTTTCTGAGCCCCCAAGGTTTGGAATAGACTGCTGCCAGAGGTGGTTCAAGCAACTACTTTGAACGCCTTTCAAGAGACAACTGGATGTTTATCTTGCTGGGATCCTATGATCCCTGCTGACTTCCTGCCCCGGGGTTGGGGGCTGGACTAGATGATCTTCTGAGGTCCCTTTCAGCCCTAATGTCTATGAGTCTATAACCTGTGAACAACCAAGGTTAAATTACTCCTCGGAGAGTTTCTTCAGAGAGGATAGAACCACAGTACAGTCCTTCAGCATTCCAGGGGCCTTTGCGCCATCTTCCCTGGAGACACTATCACTCACTGGACTCGGCTATTCAACCCAAGCAAGCCAAGAACTGTGAACGCAATCCTGCATCGTGTTATGGGAAGATGCAGGTAGTCTGGGCAACCAATCAGGGCTACCCTGTGCCTTGCTCCCATCTGGTGCCAGGCAGACTGAGAGAGCCTGCTCAGCATGCTGCAATGTGTATACAGGGACTCCTGGTGCTCAGCATCAGCACTGCAAACTCTCTGCTTTTCAGGGACTAAGCATTTGAATGTCTGTTCAGTCTACTCCACAGATAAGTTTTTCCTTCCAGGAGAACAAACCCAGGGAAATTCCAGGTCATTTGAATGTGTGTATGCAGCCTTAGTTTGAATACAAATAGAGTAAATTTACTGCATAAAATTACCAAAGAGGAGCACTGAGATTTGTTCTCTTGGTTTGCCTTAGAGTGTAAGTCAGGATGCATATTACCAGTCTGTAGTTTTAGCCCTTCATATTCTTGTCTTGGAATATTTTCTGCCCTGTAGAAAGGAATCAGTAGTTATGTCAGACCTTTACAGGATGGGGTCTGAAGACAGCAGTTTCATATATTATCCACTGGCTGATTGTGAATTTCTAACCTCTACAGGGCTTAGAACATATAGCTAGGAATGCAGAACCACTTGTTCCATCCCTTTTACCACATCACACAGGAAAAGAAACCTATGTTTGTATACTTTGTATAACTAAAAAGGCTAGTTAATATCAGACCACAGCATTTAGTATACATGTAAACTAGACATATAGCAAGATAAAGAAAAGATGAAAGGTCACCTTAAATGTTTTTATTATATTGCTGGAAGCTTAAAATAATACAGAAGTGTTTTGGATGGAGTTTTTTCTACCATGATAATACATGCAGTATTTGTAATAAAAAAAATTGCTTCATTGTATAAGAATAAATAAGTTCCTTAAATATATATTTGATTATAATTACAGTACAAAAATTGAAAAGGAAAAAAGAGAGCATGCAAAACAGCATGGGATGATAAGAACAGAGATAACAGGAGCTGAGATAGCGGAAGAAATGGAGAAGGAAAGGCGGTTATTTCAGCTCCAGATGTGTGAAGTAAGAAACAAAGTTCACCATTAAATTCTGACTCACTTTAATTTGAACTGTCCTTTGGGTCATAATAAAGAGAGGTGATGAAACATTCTGGGCAGCGTAGTGGGAAAATGGATATGGCTGGCAAGTGGTAGCACTATATTAAACAGTCTTGTCCTAGCAATCCTATGCAAGATATGACTTCATTTAGTTATGAGTTTTACTCCTGTTTAGACCAGTGGTTCTCAACCTTTTTGCCATAGTGGGCCACACTTGCAGCTCTCATTATATTATGTGGGCTGCACTACACAACTTATTTCCTGTGTATCCATTTAAAAAATGTTTTGTATCTGACAGTAGTGCAATACAAATCATTATTTTGTAATACCTCTAATCTCTATACTGTCAAATGTCTTTACTTTTTTTTTTTTTAACAGGATGTCGCATGGGCTGCAGCAGTGTGCTGATTGGGCTGCATGCAGCCCACAGGCCACGGGTTGAGAACCACTGGTTTAGTTAACAAAGTATCTTAGACCAAGATGCAAGAGAAATATTATTTTTGGTCTTCAAGTGCCAAGCATTGCCATCTAGGATGTGTTTTCTTATTTTGTTTTTCATCAGATAGGAACTATCTGGTAAAGACTACAGCAGTGTTGTTCAACCACCAGCCTCTGGGCTGGATGCAGCCTATAGAGATGCTATCTAGCCTGTAGGGCTCCCCTTGGGTCTGGAAATTTGGGAGTGGAGGAGTAGCTTCAGTGTTGATTGGTCCCAGAACCGTAGCAACTAATGTTTCCACTGCTGGCAAATTTCTAGACCTGGAAGACCGAGACAACCCTGAGTGCCAGATTTGTACCAGTTCACAGTCGCTCTGTGGCCACATCTGATGCACAGGGTTACACCATGATCAGATTTAGCACGACCGGTGTGCAGAGTCACACCATGGCTGGATCTGACACACTGGGTCAAGCTGGCACGCTGGATTTCACCCGCGGACCAACCGGCATCGTGCTGGACCTGGCCTGTGGACTGACCCCATGCTGCTCATCTGGCCCGTGGGGCTGGACAGCTTGCGTGTCATTGCTCCACAGTGATGCTTATTAAGCTGATAGTTGACTGTGATACTGTATCTACAAATAGTAGTTTTCTATAGTCCTCTCAAGTATTTACTGGTAACTTACTATATTTAACTGATCTTATATATTTTAAGTTTTTTCCAGGGGGAGTTGTTTGTTTTTAGGGAAAATAACAACTGTAATAGTATAAAAAGGCAGATCTTGATTCACGTTGAGAGGAAGTAAGTTTCTTGAAGTCATGGCACATTTATTTTATAAAGACCAAATAAACTCATTTTGACAGTTTTTCTAATTAATTTTGCATGCCCAGGTGTTGATCATTGTGTTCTTTCAACACTATAAATCAGCAACCAGGTAACCATAGAGAGTAATTATTAATTTACTTGAACAGATTTGAAATAACAATTTTACTGCTTGACTGTAAGGGAGTACCTAACACTTAGGAACCACAAGTCGTTTGTTTGTTTATTTTTTCTTCTACAGTATCTCATTAAGGTTAATGAAATCAAGACAAAAAAAGGTGTGGACCTTCTACAGAATCTTATCAAGTATTATCACGCACAATGCAAGTAAGTATGGTGTCTTGGCTTTTTAACTGCTACAGTTCAAATTACATTTCTCTACCTCTCTGCTACTTTGACTTGATATTGGCTTTTACTTTTAGCAGTGTGCAACTGTTGCATTTAAGACATTTTTGCAGAATAAACCTAATGATGAAAAATCAACAATACTTGGCTATCTCTAATCATTGCCTGAAATCCAAATATTGTTTATTCCAAGCACACTTTGGTTGGATAGCTCTGTCTGTTCTGTTTGATGCCCTCTATGTAAGGAGGGCTGGATGCTCATCTCTTTGAATTTCATTTGGGGAAAAAAAACCCAAGAAAATTAACTATTTGAAACTGGATTAATTTAGTCAAATGAATTCTTAAACTTCACTAGCTAGTGTTTTTTTTTTTTTTCCACTGGACATTTTTTAATCAAGATGCATATTTTCTTAATATATATGCACTAGTTCAAACAAAAATTAATTCAGAGGTTTTCTGCAGGATGACATATGAGATGATGAACAGTCCCATTTGGCTTTATTATGTAGTTATTATTTATTAATGTTTATCTTAAATTTGCATTCAGTAATTCATTGCTTATTTTCATTAATATTGTTGCCATTTGAAAACAACTTAAATATTATAGTGACTATTTACTTTTATTTAAAAATCGTGAAACCTTTTAGTGCTGAGGTGATGTTGTTATAATGTTCTAAGAAATATGTGAGCAGCAAGAATTCTTGTGGGTAACATGTTTTATTGGACCAGCTGCATGGTTGGGATTTGACGTAGGCAAACTTTTGGGTATCACAGTACCCTTTGTTAGGCCTCTGGGAGAGAAGCAGACACAGCAAAGCTAAATAGCGGGTGGAACAACAACTTGTGGAAAACTCCAACAGTAAATAAAAATAGGATAGAAAAGAAATGATTAGGTAGCCAGCAGGCAGGAAACATGCGGTAAAAAAATGATAAAGGAAGAACAGGATTGTTCAGGGGGTCATTGTCACCTTTCTCGAACATGGGTTTAAAAATAAATACATCATTAACAAAAACAAGTTGTGTGCATGTGTCTTGCGTGTTGCTTTGGAACTCATGAATCCAGTAGGCAGTCTGTGTGATCACTCACAGTTTCTAAAGCGTAATGAGATTTATCCGTATTGTAAAAGCCTGCATCTGTCAACATATGATTGTTATGTTTTTAGAGGTCGTTAGTTCACATGCCGAAGTGTGAAATAGCAAAAACCAAATGAAACTTGTCTTTCATACATTTTTGAAGATTTAACTTTATTATAAATGCATATGTTTTAGTGTACTGCACAGTTATTTTTGTGAAGATACAGTAAATTATTCAAAATTGAAACAAGTAATTTAAAGATCTGAGACAATATTAGAGCTAAGTGGACTTTCACATGGTTTCAGACAGTTTAGTAAAAATGAAACCATGTATAAAATGGGAATATATTTTGCTTCTGCATGTAGGAAAACAGGGGTAAGGTTACTTCATTTTTGTTATAATCTGCGATGTAGAGTGTTGGGGGGTGTTATATAAATTTCATGTATTGCTGATATCACAAGTATTTTCCTTCTATAGTTTTTTCCAAGATGGCTTGAAAACAGCTGATAAACTGAAACAATATATTGAAAAATTGGCTGCTGATTTATATAATGTAAGTAAACAATGAAGTAGCTTAATTTCTGGATAAAGGAATGTGTTGTTACTTTTGTTAGATGAGTTCAGTCCCCGTACAGTAAACTGACATTAAAAAGTTTTCAGCTGCTAAAAGAAGCTCTGAGCATGCAATATGAAAAGTTCTGTTCAAAGATTAATATTCTTGAGTCAGATATTAATCATAGTAGTAACTGTAGCTAATATTCTGATTTTTTTTGTGTGAAAAACTGATTTATAATACAGACTACATTTGGAATTGCATGCAACACAATGTTTGGTAAATTAATTAATTAATGCTGTACTGTAATCTCTCACAAAAATACAAATGACCTTCTCATTGAAAAGCAAGAAGTGACAGAGAATAAGATGACATGTTTAGCAGAGTACTCTTGTATTTCATGATCTGAAGTCACACTAATCCCATTTGCCTTTGTAGGTTATGGCTGAATAAAAATGTTTCTTTCTTGCCTCTCTTGCTATATACTATTTGTCCATCCTGTTTGAGATTCTAATTGATACTTTAGAGACCAATTTGCCTGCAGTAGCTCTAATGAACAGTTAATGTTTAACAAGCTAGGACATGCTGTCCACTTGTTTTTAGTGTCTAGAGAGTCTTATTTTTCATACGTAGTTATATATGCACTTTTGACTTCCTTTCAAAATTATATTTCCACGGAGGTTAAGTCAAAAGGAACAGGCTGTTCTATATTTATATTAACTTTAATGGGGACATATTTGTTTGAGTTTAAAAATAAAAGCTGAACTAAAATGTGTAATAGTATATATTTTTGTTCACAGATAAAGCAGACACAAGATGAAGAAAAGAAACAGCTTACTGCCCTCCGAGACTTGATAAAATCCTCTCTCCAGCTTGATCAGAAAGAGGTAAATAATTGGTGTGCAGTAATCTCAGGTAGAATGGGAAACTACATGAATTCTGAATTCTCAAAATGTTAGGCTTATATGGATGTAATCTCCTTCTGCATGGGGGTATTGCAGTAAATAAAAAAAAATATTCCAGAACAAAAATGGGAGCCTTTTGCTTTCTTCACTTCCTGCTGATTTTCCATAGTAAAATACAGAAAATGAATTTATGTGGACACCAGCTAGAATTGACTTGAATAAAGTAATTAAATACTGTAGTAGCAAGTATTTTAGGATTCCAGAAACTCAGGAAAAACATTTTGTAATAGAGATATAAAAAACTGAAATCAACACAGATGCACAAACCTGCTGCAATTTTAGTAATCCTTCATCCTTGGTTAGAGTGGGTTTGCTGGATTTCTATTTCTCAGCTCATTCACACATAACAATTAGAATATGCCAGCTGCTGCCCTTTTGAAATGTTTCTCTTCAGAAAGGGCTCCAAATGTTCATGTGTCCACACCCTTATTGACTGCTCAATCTAAGTCAACCTTACCATTTTAATTGGTGTGTAGACATACACATTTAAAAATAAACAAAGGGAAAAACAATTTAAGTCAGGTACTGTTCAGATTCTTTCCTAAATAAAGGGAGCATAATAATAATAATAGTAACAATAATAGCAAATAATATTGTAAAAAGCAGAGGCTCTCAAATCTCTGTTGTTAAATATGTGGAGTAGTAAAAATAGGGATATGTTTATATAGTTTTTATTTGTGTAGCATTTGAAAAGGTGCTTATGAAGATTCATATCTAAAAGAGGATCCTGGGATTGGAAATTATTACTAATACCAAAAAGTGAACATTAATAACCTATTTTGACATACTTCATATTGTTAATGTTGTAGGTAACACATTGTCATTCTTCAGCTAGTATCTGTAGATTGCTATATAATTTCTTACAGGTTTATTCAAAGTGTAATGTTCATTTATAATAAAGAACTCAAGTTGAGAGAGTCATTCTTTCTTATGTCTTTATACTGAATACAATTTTTTTAAGCATTCTCTTCTACTTAATAACTACAAGTAGGACAAAGTAACAAAATGTTCAACGGCTTTACTATAGTTTTGTCAGGAGTTTTATAAAAAGAAATCTCTAATGGAAAAGGGATGTACAAATATTCACTGTCGCTATTGAGGGTTCAGTCAAACGTTGTCTGAAAATATATATTCAAATGTAAACTTTTTCAAAGTTCCTTGTTGGTTAATCTGAAATAATTATGATGATTTTTGTAACTTGTTAGCATTAATAATCCTGTCTTTTATATTACTACAAATGTGCACTGCTTTTCTGAATTCATAGTATGTAAGGTGATGTTATCTTTATATATAAAAGAGGAGAAAAAGGAGAGTGTAATATCTTTTAAGAGAACTGTGCTTCTGTATATACTTGTCATAGGTCCACTAGATATGTAATGAGTTCTGAATGTTAGATGTATTATATTTCTGTAAACGTAGTGGATTGCTCTTTAGATCAGGGTTGGAGTTATTTTGGGAGTCGGGCCACTTACTGAGTTTTGGAAAGCCATCGAGGGCTGCATGACAGGCAACCAGGGGCAGATTAAATATTAATTTTCTAAATTTTTTAGGGGTCCCACGGGCCAGATAGAATGGCTTGGTGGGCCGCATCCAGCCCAGGGGCTGCATTTTACCCACCCCAGCTTAGATCCCTCTTCTATTAAGAATATTCTATGTGAACCTAATGGAAACTGTGGTACTCTGAAGTCAGTGGCAAAGCTCTCACTGATGGTAGTGAAACCCAGGATTTCACTCGTAAGGGATTTTCTGGAGAGTAATGAAAGCCAGAATAAAATCAGTTGTAATTAGCACCTTTTAGTTATTTGACTGCATTTTTGTGCATGGAGACCCATGTTGGAGTAAGAGAGCTGTATATTGGGGGACTTCAAACACTGTTATTCCAGTATAAGTGCCCTAGTTATTGTATAAACAATGCCAACATGCTAAATAAAAGATGAATTACACTTAAAACTAAATTTCAACTTGGAAAAAAATGAAGTGATAGGCTTGAAGTAAGAGGAAAAAGGTGATGAAGGTCAAATCCTGTATTTTGATGCATACTGCACACTCCTACATAAGACATGCACCTTATCTTTGAGACTGCGGGAAAAAGAAAATAAAGATTTTTCCAGAACTGAGGCTGCCTAGATCAGTAACAAAGTTTAATCATCAGCACACTCACCCTCCCTTTCATGCTTAACCCTAACTGTGGCTTAAGATTTGTTTCCATGGGTGGATCTGTGATTTTTGAAGAGTTTAAAACTGTCTGAAAGACTGTGAAATAGGAGAGGAGAGACCAGGAGTAGCTGAAAGGCAATTAAATTGCCAAAAGAAAAGTTAGCTTAATTAGTAGAATATCAAAACCATTTAAAAGGAGAGACAATCATTAACACCTGTGGAGTAAAGAACAATGAGCCTTTAAATCAATTGACTCCCTTAGCTGCCTAAAATGAAATGCTACTTGTGTTGTGAGTAGGAATCAAAGCAGGCTGCTACTGTTATCAGCAGGAAATCAGCTTCCCCATTTCAGACATGCCTGCCTCCATTTTGTTGGGATTTGCTTTTGAGGAAAAGGTGCATATGGTACATGTGTAAGTATGGTAATCAGGGAGCCCAGGGGAGATAATTACCATAATGGAAGAATTAAGTGTTTTCAGGGAGATAACTGTTTGAATGGATATTACAACCAAGGGAAATCATTTAAAAAGTTCTTGTAAAAGGAGAACTTTTCTTTTTCACACTTTTTAGTCTCTAGTAATTTTAAAAGAAGTGAAGAAATTCCATGGGTGTAGAGAGGCTTATAGATTTCAGTTCACCAGTAGTGTTCCTTGATTAGCTCTATTCTTTTTTACTTGGACCTATTTCACAGGCCTGATGTGTAAGATTTATGAAGCAAATGTTTAAATATCCTGTATTGTACTTACATGTTTCACGAACTAAGTCTTTAGTTATAGATTGAAATGTATATTGAAGGAACATGCAGGAATTCATCACAGATTAACTAAATTACATTGAAAGTAGAGATCCTGAGTTTAACCACCAATTCTTCATTTTTCTGTGAATTCTTGATTTGATTTATTCAAATTCGATTAAAGATCATTTCCCCCCTAGCAATACTTTCTCATTAACAAATTTAAAGATTAATCAAAGTATTGATAAGTATGAACCAACTTGGATTGTCCAAGTGGATTTGTAAAGATTCAAAAATATTTTGAATTCTAATATAATAAAAGCCATAGCACTTCTGGCTGTGTGTCTATCTGTCCATAATGCTCCAGGCCAACTGCACATGCACCGCCTGGAGCCTTACAGACAGACAAGGCAAGGCAAGGCAGTGGGGACCAGGGTGTACTCTTCTGTGCGGGGGTGGGGTGGGGGGCGGTGAAAGGTGTGGCTTGTGACCTTGGGGGCAGTGTGG